CACAGCTGCCAAACTGATTTTCTTAAAGTCCAACTCTAACCATTCCAATCCCCTACTCAATAAATGCAAACTCCAATATTTCTCATTTAAAATACTTTATAATCTGGCCCCAACCTAACTTTTGCACTTAATTACATACTGTACCCCCTTCACGCTTTCTAAAATCCAATCAATATGGCTTACTCAATCCTCTCTATCTTCCAGCTCTGTACCCTGGATATTTCCCACACAGGGAATGTACTACCCTCTTCATTTTTATTTCTCAGAATTAATAGTTTTCAAGACTGTCTCAGCTAAACTGCCCCCTTCCACTTTAAACCTTTCCTAATTCCCTCATTTTATTGGTACTTTTCTCAGCCAAAATCCCTTTGTACTTACTTTGCAGCTATTTTATATCATTCTACATGTGTACATGTTCTTTCCCCCAATGGAATATAAGCTCCTTGAGGGCAGATATTCTTTCATTTTTATCTTTGTATTCCAAGCATCTACTGTCTGGCACATGGTAGGGTCTTCATAACTGCTTATTGATTGATTTTTTTTCTTCCCTTTCTTTGCTTCTCTCATTCCTCTATATTGACCTTTCTAACTAAAATGAAACATCAGAAATTTTGCTCTGGACACAGTTAGATTTTCATCTCCATCCACATTTCCCCCATCTAAATCAGGATTCACAATCTCGCTAGGTTCTGTGAAGCACTAGATTTGACAAATAGTACTAAGGAAAATCCAGTGAGAGGCATGAAGTTAGGGCAAGATACGAAGCATTAAACATTTAACTCTGAGAGGATAGGATGTGCATGCATTATTTCCAATCAGCTTCTGTTATAAGTGCCTGAATTATATGTCATAACTGTGGAAAATAAAAATACATAATGGAGTCATTCTAGAAATCAGTTCATAGAGCAGTGTGGCATCTTTGAGTGATTTTAATCTTTGCTTTCTTGCAGCTTACATGTACAAGTGGCATATGATGTGGAACACTGTGTCACAAATCACCAAGTTAATAATCTTCCAGGGAAGCTGTATTTTGTAGTTAAAACATCAAGATAAAAATAAGGTTGGGCCACAACGGCTTCCCTGAGGATAGAGACATGGCCAAATAAAAATGTCCATTTTCATCACTTTTTTTTTTACAGTTCCCATTGCTATTTTCTTTAGCTGCTCAATGGTGAGGATAATTATTTACTACCTACTAACTAACTAATAATAATATTCAATAACTAGCTAATAATAGCATTAAAGCTAGACTTTACCTGAGAAAAGAGTGAACAGGATTTATGTTGGGGCAGTGGAGTAAATTCTACATCTGGATTGAAGGTGGGAAGGGAGGGCAGAAACCTGCTGGAACTATGGACAAAGAGGCTAGGCAAAAACTGAGTGTTGATAAAGAGGCCCAAAAATGTTTATCATAAAGCATCCAGTCCAACAGTCACTTTATTCAGTAAGCCTTTATTAAGCACTTACTGTGTACCAGGCCTTCTACTAAGCCTGGGAATAAAAGAATGAAAAAAAAAATTAAAAACACAAAAACAGTCAGTGCTGTCAAAGAGTTTACATTTGAATGAGAGGAATAACATGTAAGTAAATACATATGTAGAAGAAACACATGGAATAGAAGACAGGTAGTTTTAGAGGCTGCCAGGAGTGGGTTGGGGAGGGGAGAATGCCTTCCTGCAGTAGATGGCATTTGAGCTGAGTGCTGAAGAATGCCAGGAATGCTAACAGGAAGTGGTGAGGAGGGAGAAAAAAGCCTGGGCTCCGCTAGTACAAGATTCTGTGTCTGTTATGTGTAGCACTGAGCTGGTTAGAACTTCCTACAGTGAATTATTGAATTATAAGAGCCTCAGGAACCTGTCCTTGGACTTCCTTTGCCTGTGGGAGCCTCCATATACAAGCTGGCACAGGATTAAATCTCATTTTCACTAACCTAGGTGAATGGATTGAAAAAGGAATTGCTTTGGAGTTGGCTCATGAATATTGCTTGGCTTCCCAGGGTGGGATTTATAGGTTTCTCTGGTCCTTCCCTGGATATCATATCAGACTCACTTAGGTTTTCAGTAGCTTCAATCCCTGCTGGTTGAGTTAATCTTTGAGTTTGCCACTTCAAACATCTAATTTGTGTTCCTACAACTCACAGACTTACCTGTGCTCTGGAGAATAAAATTGTCCAAATGAAAATAGGATGCAATAACGTCTCTCTATATGCATGTAAAATTACTCTTGTATTTAAACATGAGAGCACCGTATAAAAAGCAAAGCTGATGTATCTACTCTTAAGCAATAAGAATATGGTTGACACAGATGAGCCAGAATCATTTTATCATAAGGAAGATGTGTTTACTGAAAACAGTTTGTTTTCTTCTTCATTTGTTGATTGATTCATTCTTTTATTCATTCAACAAATATTACTTCAGTGCCAGCTACGGACAAGGCACTATTAAAATACAAAGATATACATAGGTCCTTCCCCCAGGAGCTTATAATATAGTGGGGATTGAGAGACAAGGCAGACACAAATAAAAAAGGCAAGGCGATATATGTCAAATATGACATATGTAGTACAAGTGGTAGGAACCATAGGAGTTGACAGTAGAGAGAGAGAAGGGAGGAGGGGGAGTGATGGATGGAAGGAAGGAGAGAAGGAATAAAGGAAGGAAAGAGGGAGGGATGGGGGAAGAGAGAGGGAAGAAGGGAAGGAGGTGAAGGACTGATTCTTGGGTGGGATTATTAGAGGTATGGAGGTTTATCAGAGGTACCTCCTTCAAGGAGGTAGACCTGTTTTATTTCTTATTTTATTTCTTAATTTATTTTTTATTAATTTATTTTGATTAGGACAGCTAGGTGGCACAGTGGATAGAGCACCAGCCCTGAAGTCAGGAGGACCTGAGTTCAAATCCGGCCTCAGACCAAACACTTGACACTTACTAGCTGTGTGACCCTGGGCAAGTCACTTAATCCCAACTGCCTAAAAAATTATTTTGATTTATCAACAATCACTTAAATAAGCTTTTGAGTTTTAAATTTTTCTCCCCCTCCTTCCGCACCTCCCTCCCCAAGGCGGTGTGCAATCTGATATGGGCTATACATATACATTCCTCTCAAACATATTTTCACATTAGTCATGTTGGAAGGAAGAATTAGAACCAGTAGAAGGAACCACAAAAAAGAGTAAACAAAACAAAACAGAAGAAAAAAAGACCAAATAGTATGCTTCGATCTGCATTCAAATGCCATAGTTCTTTCTTTGTATGTGGATAGCATTTTCCATCATGAGACCTTTGGAGATGTCTTAGATTCTTGCATTGCTGAGAAGGGCTAAGTCTATCAAAGTTAGTCATCACACAATGAGGCTGTTACTGTGTATGGTAAACCTGTTTTAAGTGAAATTTTAAAAATGGGGAAGATGTTTCAATCTAGATATGGGCAATAGAATAAGGGTGATCCAAGTAGGCAGTACAGCATTTGTAAAAGTGCCTGGTCATGCTACGAAGGGAGTAAGAGTAAAAGGTACACAAGAAGAATCCTGGGGAGATGCTCTAACCCCTCTATCTACAAAATAAAGTACACAATGATAAATTGGAACCAGATTACTGAGAGAGCCTTTAATGTCAGTGTAAGGAATTTGCCCTTTATTTTGTAGGTAGGAGAGTTAGAACATGACTATAGCAGAGCTTCAGGAAGAGAAAGTGATTTTCGGGTGTAGTATCAGTTATATAGAGAAGAGAGACTGAAGTCTGGAAGACTCGCTAAGAAGCTGGGACAATAATCAGCACATAAGGCAGAGTTAGGGTGAGAAATCTATCTCACTCACTGAATACTGGCCCACCTGTGCTTTTTTCTTCCTTTGAACTCTGCTCAATTTTTCCTTGACAGCTTGAATGTAAATTTTACTTGTTTAACCATTTCTGCATCCATGTGATGCCCTTCCTATATTATTTAGTTAGCCTATTTGGGGGGATGCTGGCCTTTCTCATAAGTATAATGTCTCTGTAGCGTAACTAGGTACCCATATTCTCCTCTTGGTTAATGACTGGAATTTCCTAAATGGGCACAGAGCCTTTTATTCTCTTGTGGCAGGAGGTGGGGGGAACATGATATTGGTCTAGGAAAGGAAATACAGTGATTTGATGTTTTTCTAGAATTCTCAAACATACCCCAGAGTGATAGGGTAGAAACATGGGAGAATCTTATAAGACATGGCTGTATCTGAAATATAATATCATATTCATGATATGATATCTGATTATGATATGATATGTGATTATGATATTTATGATATCTGAACTATGATATCATAAACTACTTTCTGGTGAATCAGCCCCCACTCCAAGGAGGATGCTGATCACAGTCACAATACACAGAATGATACCTTTTCCGTGGTGCAACACACACACACACACACACACACACACACACACACACACACAAATGCCCTCATAGGGAAAACTCATCATGATACCCTGACAGTGCTGCTACACTCTATCCTGAAGGTCAAAGACTTGAGTTCATTTCTCTTTCCATCAGTAAGTCACTTTCGGCAACAGGCAATAGGGCTACAGCCATCTTACATCTGTTGTCATTAGTAATGCTCCTTTCTTTGCCTCAAATCTCCCAGCTAAATAGGACTCCTGAAGACTGCCATTACAGCCTACTTCCTGCTTGTACATTTCACCTGTTCCTCTCAGGTCTGCCAGGTCCCCTCGGTTACCATGCTCTCTTATGCACGCATGCCAAGGTGAAAGGTTTGAGTGACAGAGATCAGATCCTTTCTTGAGAGGATGCGATTGGGACTGACCGAGAGGATGGGGGAAGAGAGTTCAGTGACCCTGAATGCCTGAAGAGGAACACACCTAGAAACTGCTTTGGTGTAGGTGGCCCTGAATGCTGCTTACACTTTTACTCCCAAATTTTGCCTCTGGCTTTTGAATTACAGGAGCTATTGACTTCACAAGATTGGTTGTTTCTTTTCGCTCATCAGTATCCTTTGTTGTTTGCAGGAGCTGGTGGGAAGTAATCCTCCACAAAGGAATTGGAAAGGAATTGCGATTGCTTTGCTCGTCATCCTGGTGATCTGCTCCTTGATTGTCACCTCGGTTATTCTTCTCACCCCAGGTATTTATAGCATTTTATTCTTGGGAAGGCCAGCCCACATTAACCCCCAAATGCAACCAGATCTGAAGGTTCTTTCTGAAGAACTGCCTGTTGTAGAATTGATTCTCCCTAGGTGATCCCTCTGATAGCATCTACTGGAAAAGTTGTTTTACATAAGTTTTCAGTGGAAAAAAGGTTGGTCTTCCTTTATCTGAATTTTAAGTATGTTTCTTTAATTACTGGTTAGGTGGCAAATGCCTGGAGTGCAGAGACTGTATCTAATTTTATCAGGTAGGTCCTGTGTGATCTCCCTTTTATGTTGACAGAATTAATGATACTGGCACAATACTAATAGCAACCGTATAATATGCAAAGCTCTCTTAATAAATTGACTGAAAATTGAGTAACAGTCAATATATATGTATATATACATATACACAGATATATATACACATGCATGTGTGCACATATGTACATACACACACACATATAATACATGTGTGTATATGTGTACACACATATGTATACATCCCCATATCCATATACATGTGTATATAAATGTGTATGTATGTATCCTTAAGGTTTTCAGCATCATTTATATCCCTACCATTTTGGTGCTTGCCAACAATTCTGTGAAATAGGTACACTTTTGGTGCTTCCTGACAACTCTGTAAAACGGGTACATTTTGTAGATGAGGGAACTGAGTCTCAGAGAGGGGAAACAACTTACCCACGGTCCACACAGCTAGGAAAAAATCAGAAGTGGGATAAGAATCCAGGTCTTCCTAACCCCTCATTCCAGCATTCTACTACATGATGCTATCTCTTTACATACATACATACACACACACACATATGTGTGTGTATGTATGTGTGTGTATATGTGTGTGTGTCTATATATACACACACACACACACACACACATATATATACACACATATAACATGATTATAGCTATACTTTGGAAAAAATCACAGCACTCATTATAGAGCCTTGCACATATACGTGTGTGTGTGTGTGTATATATATATATAGAGAGAGAGAGAGAGCAAGGCTCTATAATGAATGCTGTGATTTTTTCCAAAGTATAGCTATAATCATGTTATCTGCTGTGTTCAATGAGCTCCAGTGGTCCCCTTTCATCTTTAGGATCAAATATAAACTTCCCTTTTGGGTATTTAAAGCTCTTTATAACTGGGCCTCTTCCTGCGTTTGCAGTCTCCTTACGTTTTACACACTCTGCAGTCTATTGCCCTTATTTAAACGTCTCTGTCTCTCTCTTCCATTTCCACGCCTTTGCAGTGGCTGTTCCTCGTGCCTGGAACGCATTGCCCCTTCACCTCCACCTCATGCTTTTTCTGGCTTCCTTCGAGACTCAGCTCAGATGCTACCTTCTGAAGGAGGCCTTTGCTGGTCCTTCTAATTCCCAGTGCCTCCTCTCCAAATTTCCCTTTCATTCACACTGCATATATCATACCTGTGCCAAAGTATTTACATGTGGTGTCTCCCAGTAGAATGTTAGATTACTGAGGTCAGAAATTACTTTTGCCTTTCTTTGTATGTTCTAGGCTTAACATAGTGCCTGGCACATTTTTGTTATTTGGTTGTTTTTTCAGTCATGTCCCACTCTTTGTGACCCCATTTGGGGTTTTCTTGGCAAAGATACTGGAGTGGTTTGCCACTTCCTTCTCCAACTCATTTTACAGATGAGGAAACTCAGGCAAACAGGGTTAAGTGACTTGTACAGTGTTACACAGGTAGTAAATGTCTGAGGCTAGACTCGAACTCAGTAAGATGAATCTTCCTGACTTCAGGCCCAGTGCTCTATCCACTGCCCCACCTAGCTATCTCTGGCACATAGTAAGTGCTTAATGAAGGCTTGTTAACTGAATGGTAATGAATATGGGGATGTTTGCAATCTGACCCCTGCCCTCCTGAAGCTTAATCTGATTAAGGCGATGAGACGTATTGCCAGATAACTATAACATTTGGCAGTTTAGAATAAGTACTACATGTGTGCTATACATGGTAAGTGCAGAGGCTTTCTGGCTAGAATGAATCAGGGCAAGCTTTCTGGGGAAAATGGTGTTTGTGTGGGAACCTAAAGGATGAGTAGAAATTTAGTAGACAGAGAGAGATATGGAGGGAAGGGAGGGAATGGAATTCTTGGGGAAAATGGTATTTGAGCTGGGCCTTGAAGGATAAGTAAGAATTTAGTAGACAGAAAGAGGTAGGGGAGGAATGAGAGGAGCAGGAATTAATGATTTCAGTGGTGATGGCAGGAGTTCACATTTTTACAGTGCTTCACTGATTTACAAAGGTCTTTCCTCATAAGAAATCTGTGAGGTAGCTTGTGTGAGTATTTTTATATCCATTTTACACACAAACTGCAGAGAATTTAGGTGATTTGTTCAAGGTCACACAGTTATTAAATATTGGAGTTGAAATTCATCCCCAATCCTCACACCAGGGTGTCTAATTCCAAACCCAACATTACTTCTACTATGACTATGTTCTGCTACCACTCCAAGCAAACCAATTAATGTCTCAGAAAAACAGTATGGCAATAAAACCTGTGTTAATTTTTTAATCCACTTTCATCAAATTTATTATCTTCTTATTTGTGCATTGTTGTTCTATACTGGCAAATAGAAAGGGTACATAGTTAGGAAGTAGACTCAGGACCAGAAATATCTGGGTTCAAGTCTCACCTTTGATTCATAGTGACTTGTATGACCTTGGTCAAGTCACTTAGTCACTCAATGTTCTAGGCCAATGGTGTCAAACTCAAATAGAAATGAGGACCACTAGTCTGTAAGCAGGGATCCTGTGAAATACATGTTCACTTAGTTTTGTAATATAATGTTATCTATGTTTTGTTATAATTTTTAATTTATTTTGTCAAATATTCCTCAATTATATTTTAATCTGGTTCAGGCTGCACTCAGATGGTGCAGGCAGTATCCAGGGCCAGCTTGGTGTTGCAGTAATTAGAGCAGCAGGCCTAGAATCAGTAATACATGAATTCAAAACCAGTCTGAGACATTTGCCCTGGGCAAGTCACTTAACCTATCTTTGCCTCAGTTTCCTCACCTGTAAAATGGGGATAATAATAGCACCTATCTCCTAGGGCTGTTGTGAGGTTTAAATGAGAGAATATTTGTAAAGTACTTTGCAAACTGTGTTATAAAAATTTATATATATATATATATATATGTGTGTGTGTGTGTGTGTGCATTATATAAATACTAGAGATGATGATGATAAAGACAATGATAATACAGAGGCATAAATGCTTTTGCTTCTTGCCCTCAGAGAGCTTACATTCTTTCTTTGCTTATACACATGACATATAAGCTTCTTGAGGAAAAGGTGTAAATTTATTTTAACTTTGAGTATAAATTGGTTCTAACTTTACCACTTAACTTTAAGCAATTCACATAACCCTCTGAGCTTTATGTACAGGTGTCAAATACTAATGGTCAAAAGACAGAAATGAGATAATAATTAGAAAATGCTTAGCACATCAGAAGAACTATTTAAATGTTAGCTATTATTATTGTTATTCTTTTATGTGGCTAGCATGCTGTATGTTTGACACCTCTTTTGTAATACTCTCTAAGACTAAGTTGCAGAGAAGGTGCCAACTTGAATTGGTAGATAGAATTTCCTTTTCCAGGAGTTCCCTATACCAGTGAAATCCAAACTCCAGTCTGAATGGTCATTTATCCCAGCAGCTACCCTCCCTCCATACTGCAGCAGATCAGTAATCTTAATTATCTGAGGATTCTCTCCAACAACAGGATTGTACCTCAGTGGTGCCTGCCCATCTTGTGTGACTCTTGTCTATGCATTCCCATCAGTTCTCTATAGTGTTTCTCTTTTCTTCTTCCCAATATGCTGGGGGCTTTCCTCCAGAAGCATTAGTGTTGGGTGGATAGCAGTGGGATAGACAAGCAGTCTATTAGTAATCACTCTGTCACTTGCCCATCTTTGTTTTTCTGCTCATACACTTCTGTGTTGACATCCTTTATAAAAGCATCAACCTTAAAATATCTAAATCCATGCCAAAAAATGGAAAAAGGTGACATAAATAGTGATGAAAAATGAATTATAGAATTCTCAAGTCTTTTGTGATGAGCAAAATAGTCTGCATTAGAAAGAGTCTTCTGAACTTTGAAGATACAGTTAATTTGGTCTTTTGGAATGCACTCATTATGCTATGTAGAAATTAATGAACTGAGGGGAAGTTCATAGAATTATTGGATGCTGGGGAACTGAAAGGGACCTTAGAAGACACTTAGTCTAACCTTTACATTTTACAGGTGAGGAAACAGAGTCTTTAGAGAGGTTAAAGGCTTTAATAAAAACCCAAAAAGCTAATTCATATTAGAGCTAAAAATAGAACTAAGGACTTTTGATTCCCGATCTTTCTTATTTCCTTATTTGTAGCTTTTCCATTGAGCCATGCTGCCTGGGAAAGGACATTCTTATTTTCTAGAGAGTTTTAAAATTGGGAAAGAGCAGCCTAGGATGGTTGAAATATATACTTCTCAGACTAAATCAACATGGAACCTATGCTCAAGAGGGAAAAAGATTCATTTGAACAAAGGTTTCTAAAAGATGATTTTCATCGTATTTCATCCTATTTATTTTTACTTTGGCCTTTCTGGGTACCTAGAATATAACCAACCTTGTTCACATGCAAGAAGATCTTTATTCAATATTTGGTCTTTCCCTTGTTATCCTTGAGTTTACCTATCTTTCATAGACTAGTGAGATCCCATCTTATGTGCATTTATTTTTCCATGGATATAGGAGCTTTGGTCTCACTCAGAATCACAAGAGGCCTTACAACTGCCAGTTTAGAGTAGAGCAGAACAGTTGCCAGGAGCATCTTGTAGACACAAATATCCAATAACAATAAGGTTGTGCAGCTGAGGTCATTTAAGGACCTAGCCCTGGGAAAATTTCTCATTTCTTTGCCAAGCAAAGCACAGGACTGTGTCAAAGAGAATTTC